CCCCCCCCCACACACAGACACAGCACACACATACAGAGACACCCCCCCCAGCACATACATACAGAGACTGACGCAGAGACACATCATACATGCAGACACAAACACACATGCCAAGACACACGCACCCTGCCCCTCCGGGGCTCAGCTCCAGGCTGATGTGTTATGTAGTTTCCTTGGGGTCATTGGGTTGGGGATCATGGGGTTGTCCAGGAGGGCCTTAGGGAACCCAGGCAGGGTTCAGGCCTGTGACAAGGTGGTGTGGACCAGGAAAGCTGGGGAGGGTGTTGGGAGGACTTGGCTCTGCCTCTGGGGTGGTGTTTCCAGGGCTCAGAGGGAGACGGGTTCTAGGATGGCCCAAGCCCAGACCCAGCCTGGCAGGGCTCAGGAGTAATGGGGAAATGGGCATTCATCCCCCAGAGCACATCAGTCTGAGGCATGTGTTGTGTCTGGGGTCCTCAGGGAACCTTAGGGCTGGAGCTGACTCCAGGGAACATGTGACCCCACCAGGGACTGCTGTGACTCACAGCCCTGGGGGCCCTGGCCATATATGGCCAGCATGTGTGTGTGACATGTGTGAGTGTGTGCACATGTGTATGCATGTATGTGTATATACGTGTGTGTGCACATGTGTATGTGTGTGCATGTGTGTATGTGTGTATGTGAGTGTGTGTGCACGTGTGTATGTGTGTATACATGTATGTGTGTGTATGCATGTATGTGTATGTGAGTGTGTGCATGTGTGTATGTGTATATGCATGTGAGTGTGTGTGTATACATGTATGTGTATGTGAGCGTGTGTGCACGTGTGTATGTGTGAGTGTATGTGTGTATGCATGTGTGTGCATGTATGTGTGAGTGCGTGTGCACGTGTGTATGCATGTATATGTGTGTGTGCACGTGTGTATGTGTGTATGTGTATGTGTGTGTGCATGTGTGTATGTGTGTATGCATGTATATGTGAGTGTGTGTGCACGTGTGTATGCGTGTATGTGTATGTGAGTGTGTGTGCACGTGTGTATGTGTGTATGCATGTATATGTGTGTGTGCAC